TACAGTACAATGATTGTACACTGATTCTGCCGGGTTATACTTAATGTTAAAATCATCACCCCTAAAAAGGAATATAATACACACTGTTAAAATGTTTGGATTTTAGTTTATAACTAAATATAACGAGATGTGTTATATTCCCGATACCCTTTATTAGCGATCTAACTAGGTTTAGATAAAAATATCATGAGTGTGACTTTTTACACTACCCTAAATTTATGACGTAGACTATTTGATGTAAGTCAAATTATTTGACTGATATTGTTTTTTTGATTATCTTGCTGATTCAATTATTAAGTTTAAACAACCAAAATCGTAGTTTTTTATATAAAGTTATAAAAGAAGGCATATATCCCAATAAGCCATTATTAGCATACACCTGCCCCCCAAAAATATCAAATCCCTGATGATTATACAGCTGAAACAACTTGGGGTAGAGGTGATAATTGATTTACTTTGTGATGTTTTGTTAATTATAATGAAAAAGGGCTGATCTTTCAAATCTGTTTTGGAAAATATTTCGAATATGAAATATTTTCAATTAAAACAGCTACAGAAGCCGCTAATTTATTTCATGAAGTTCGTATTTAATATTTAATTTAAAACCATATTAAAAATTTATTTAATTAATAAATTTATTATTTAAAAATATTCACCTCAAAAAGGAACCAAAACATCAGGAGTATATTTATTTGGTCTTCATCTTAAAATATTAGATGAAGTAAGGAAATTTAAGTGGCGATCAAATATATTAAAGCAAATTGATGATTGTAGTAATTCCAATCTTACCAAACATGCTATAACTATTGGAAAATCCATGTTGACTGAATTTAATGAGAAGGTTTCAAATCTATACAATCCAAATAATATACTAATATTGGAAAGTTTAAATTATTTAATTAAAGGACATGCTTATGAAATTAATTATGATGATTATGAGAAGATTAAAAAAAAACAAAAAACTGAATTGATAGTTAAAACACTTGATAAAAAAAAATTTTCAAGAAATTCTTACCAAGATCTAAGTTCAATAGAGTTTCATTTGCTATCTGAAAAAATGATATATGAAAAACATCAACTAATTAATAAAATAATGATACAATTTATACCAATATCAACAATATATTTAAATACTGAAAGTCAAATAGATCAAACTGAGAAAGCTGATGGTTATAATGAATTTATAGTACAAGAAGTAGTTAATGCCACTAGAAAAGGTGTTTATATAAGTGTGATAAATATTTTACAATATTTAATTCCGGATCTTGTTCAAAGAAAAATTTTTAAATCCACAACAGCCATTAGTTAATCTTAGATTATCTGGAGATGGGCATAATGTTGGATGGCAAATAAAGTATGTAATGTTAATAGTGGTATCTTGGATGATAAAGATACAATATACAAACCAGATTATCATTATATAGTTGCATTTCATTCTAGTTTGGAAGATTATAAAACATTAGCAAATATAACTTCTTCAATTTATAATGATTTAGCAAACTTAAAAAACCAA